ACAAAGCGCTCATTTCGAGGGTTACATGCCTCCGAGCCCAGTCTAATCCCCCACCTCGTTCTGGGCAATGCATTGATCCTAGATTTGTGGGCTAAGATAAAATAGAGACCTGTCAATCTAGCACCCGCAGGTCACTCTGAGGGTCAAACCGTATTCAAACGTTCTCTAACGGAAGTAGAATGCATGGCGCATCGGAAAACAGATCAGTTAACACAGATGGCTTATTCACTTGGCGGAAGCTGTGTATGGTTCCACCAACAAGTTTGGGTGTCCAGTCTACAGTTCAGCCTTTACAACTCAAGCTCTATTATTGAGGTGTGGGTCCAAGACTGGTGCTAGGAGTTCATTATTTATCGACGTAACAATCCTAAATAAGGCCTGTGGCCTTGTGGCCGTTTTGAGACCAGATAAGCGCCTATATCTGAGGCTATTAGCTAATGCACTTGAGGTTTCCTCGTGCCTTTGCCCATATGGCCTGACGATGGCTCGAACTCAAGCACACTTGACATGAGCATGGGAGCTCTATCGCCGAGTTCCCCGTTTATTCCTCCTTTTCGAGCGAGCAATCCCTTTGGACCTTCCGGGTCGCCTCGTTGTACTTCTTGTTTACTCATGGCTTACACAGAGATTTACATGAGCACTGAGAGAGCGACACAGCAAGCAGCTCTCTTTTGAGAACATGCGGACGCCACTGGGAAAAACTCCATTTAATTAATGCTGCATAGAGTGCGTGGGCTGTCAAAGTGCTTTATTTGAACAGGCCTGTAAGTGTAGATGCTCGTTGTCCTATAGCAGCCATTGATCAGAGATTAGGGGCAGGAATTGGCACCTAGGGATTGTACTGGAGGGTCAGCTTAAAATGAGCTTGGAAAAGAGCTCGAGAGAGGGCTTTCCAAGGGCTCTGCTAGAACTGGAAAAGGCTGAGAAGTCCTTCGAAAGTTTTTCGATAAACACTTGTCAGGGAATTCGCCATGCACTCTGTTTCTGTTTAGAATCGTGGATATAGTTGTATGTGAAATGAGCTGATGTACTATTGGGGCTGCATAATTGACTGATCAATCGTTTTTATAAGAATTTTTTCAACTTCATATCGTTTGTGGATAAACAAATCGACAGCGTTTTTAGGCAGTGACCACGTCTTGTGAACAATTTGACCGTATTCTACCAATCTACTGAAGATGGGGGTGGTGTGGTGGTAAGCGGCGCCACCTCCTGACGCTCTGTGACCTCACTCGGATCAGAACCTGCCCAGAACAAGCAAGCCTTAACTCGCCGCTACAGGCCTCGGTAATTTTACCAAGATTTGTACTGGAGGTATATGCGCCCCAGGCTCTTCCGCGCTGTCATTGTATAAGCCGTCATAATAATGTGGGCTCGCCCCGCCCGTTGGGCTCGCGCGCGCCGTGTGCAAGATTCAGTACGAAAATTAAAGATACGTGGCCCATCCTCCATGGATTGATTCTGCACAGAAAGCGCCTAAGGCTTTTTTACCTAACCCGAGAACATTGTGTTTATATGAAAGGGAATTGGTAAAGTTTAAGCTCGGTTTATTTTTTCCTTTTTAGTAACCGCTTCGAGACTGTTACATGAAGGTAGGGAGAGTAGGGAAAGTCAACAATCCCTTCGAATTATTTGAACGGCTAGAGGTCCTCCTCTAACAGTTTGGGATCAGGGGTAGGTACCGGGCAGAGCTCCGTCTCGTCGAGAAAGCAGAGACGCAGGCGAGTCAGCGGACGAGTCGGAGTGCGTACTGCAGTGATTTCGCGATATGATTTTGATTTTTTCAGCTAAGTAGTAATGTAGTAATGTGCTATAAAACATTCAAATGGCAAATAAAACGTTCCACATCACATAGGCACGCGCTTGCGGTACTCCTCCACTGATTCGTTTGCCGCCGCTCTGCCCTTCTCGCCGCGCCTAGGCCCTCCTGTCGGGCAACCTGGAGGAATGAGACAAGATTCCCTTCAGAGGGAGGTCGTGAAATTTTTGAAAAAGTGCGAGTTCGACGGTTGGCCCTGAGTATGGCTCTCGGTTTTCAACGGGCAAAGTGAATCCTTAGCTGTGCCGGTAGGTCTTCCTGGCCGAAGCTGCTTTTTGTCGAAATTCAAAATCTAGCCGGAGATAAAAACTCGGCTAGAGACCGGCTCAATTCATTTTTGATTCTGCGCTTTTTCATCTCAATTATCCTATCCCGCATACTATCCCTTCGATCTTCTTAATATTTCTGCGTCCTTTTTTAAAGTTTATCCCTCTTACTAGCCTTTTTTCTTGTTCTATGAACGAGTCATTTTGAAGGGTATGTCGTCATAAAGCGTATTTCGCCGCAAAAGGACATTGCTTCTTATCCGGATTTGATTGTCTGTTGTACCTCGTGTTTATGAGCTCAGCTACTAAGCGTATTTACTCAAAAACCCGGGTGCTCTTGTCCTTTCAGCCCTGAGTTATTTTCGCATGCTTGCTTTGCTACATAGTACCACTAGTCCTCACAGATCAGCGGACCGCTTGGAATTGGAAATTTTTACCGGAAAATTTAGGAAAAATGAGGAAATTTGAGCCTCTGGAGCCGTTCCGGGCTAATACTACTAACTATTGCTTGTGCAAGGAAATGTCGCGGGGAATTAGCGGAGCTGACAGGCTTCATGGCAATGCATTTCCGGAAGGATTATCTCTTGCAGGAATAGATCCGTGCCTAAAAATGTCTCAGATAGCCTTGAAGCTGATGAGCAATCGCGTCAGGCTCGTACTGGGTAGCTTTGGCGCTATAATGAGCTCCCACACAGGATCATTTTTGGAGGCAATTATCGCCAATGTGAACAGCAGCGGGAAACGGGGGAAGAAAAATAGGCCAACATCCTGCTTACTAATTCGGTAGCTAATTTGCCTGGGAGACTAGAAAAATTTGTTTTCGTCGTCTACTATCGTCATGGTCCATCCTAGTAGATAAATTATCGCCGTATGGATGTCAACAACACTACCAAACGTCTGGTCGACACGGTGGGAAAGGGGTCCGGGACTGGTAGAAACTATACAGTTTTATATAGTAAAATGACTTAAAGGAAATAAATGAAACAAAAACAGTTGAGCAGTTGCACGAATAAATAAAATAAGTTAATGAAAATTAAAATAAAAAATAAAAATACAAAAGATAAAATTAATAGCAACGAGTCAGAATGTTGGTCAATGGGATTTGGAAGACATGAAATGCCAAGAAAGTAAAAGCAGCGCTTGAAAACTTAAAATTTTTTATATCTCCTAGCAGCGATTCCAGAGGTGGACAAAGATTATTCCGGTTTCCTCTGGCGTGAGCTGTAGTTTTGAGGAAGTTACGACAAGAAAGTTTGATCACTGTATTTATCACCTATAATTATAGAAATATTAACCACTTTTTGTTGTTTTGCGCTGTATTGCCTCTGCTAAGGGCCGGCTTTATGAGGGGCGGGCGCGAGAGGCACAGTCCGTAGGTGTTTTAGTCCCACATGAACTGATTTCTGTCCTGACATAAGCCTTCCCCGAGAAGGTACAGGGGTACGTCAAGCGGGGAATAAACGTAGCGCTAGCATTCATCAAGAAGCTGGGCTCAAGTCCTAAGTTCCAGCTATAGCCCCGCTCAACACATGAACCCCAACCCAACTGCACCTTGCCCCTTTCGCTATCAAAGACGGGGCCTTTTTTCATCATTCTCGACGGTTCCTTCGCATTTTTTCGTCACTGGCGTTAAGCTTAACATCTCCACTATCACTTGCAAAGCTGCAAATACTTCATTTATTCGAATCGCATACTCTGCCTTTAAGTTCGCACCTCGTTCCGTGTACTGTGTAGTAAAATGCATGACATGGATGTTATTGTGGACGGAATAAACAACGAATACACTATAATGATTTGTTTAATTCCGATTCCGTTTATCGGCGAACCTGCTGCTCTTCGGACGCTACTCACCTCTGCGATCATTGAAGTATATTGAAAGGCGGGATGTGTGACGTGGTGTGAGGCGTTCCGTTTCGGCTTGTCGTGGACCGCGTGGTGTAAATGTTCTTTGCTTCGCGGTAGCAGCGTCCAAATGACATCAAAACTGGGCGGAGTACCACAAGTGCGGGACTCCGCCCACCCGGAAATCCAAGGAAATCCGTCTTTTTCGGTGTGTGAGGGGTGTTGGATTGCAATAAAGTACTGTTTTGCTTGAGAGAGAAGTTTGAGGGGGAGGGGGGGGGGGTGGTTACAGATTCCGCAGCGCGACTTTTCGTGTGCTAAAGAAGTGTAATGAATTGAAACGTGGGCGGAGCTATGAAATATTTTGCCGGCTTATTTTAGGGAGATGATGATCAATGTATTTATTTGTTTATTCATTTGTTTATCTTCCGTTTGATTAATTGTTTCTCACTATCGAATGCGTGCCACAACCTGTAAAAGAAGTCGAGAAACTGTGCTGATAGCATAACCAAGTTTAGGGGAGGAAAAAACTATATGTCTGCTAGAATTTAGTGAAGCCTTCAAGGCTTAGCCATGCCTGCTAAAGCTTTTTTCACGTTCTAAGCGCTCCCTGTCTGCAAAACGGATTACAGCAAGCGGCTAATTCGAGTGTGTTTTTCATGAGGACAAGTTCGTTCTGTTTAGTCTTTCAGAGCACGAAGCCAGGCAGAAGGCGTGCCCTTAACAGAAACGAACTTTGACTCGAGCTGGTTTTGGTGCTCGCTTCGTCGATTTGTTTGGAATACGGTAGCGCTGGCCTTGGAAGGAAGCGATTTCAGGGATACGGAAATCAGAAATTAAAATGCACCACCATCTGAACAATTTCCAAAGCATATAGGCAAAACTATAAAAGGTGGTCACAGTACTTCTCGCCCACGGCATAGCCTTACCAGGGCGTTCCCGTTGCTCAAGGAGAGCGCCGTTTCACCAGGGGCTTGAGCACTTTGGGTTCTTTAGACGGAAATCGGAATCGCAGCCCTATCCTGGCGGATATTCCGATACCGCCCGGAACTCGTACACCGCAAGGTTGGATGTACTACTAGATAGACAATGTTCCATATAAATGAGAAATCTTGCCCACAGTGTGCTTTTGAGTGAAGGATTTTTGCCACGATTTTTGTACAGATATCCACTGCTTCGCAGGACACCTCAAAATTGGGCGGGATCTCACAGTGTGGAACTCCGCCCACTTGAAATCCATAGATTCTCATGGGGTGTTGAGACTTCGAAAAGTGCGATGCAGAACAGCTCGATATTTCAGTGTAAGAAGAAGGTGGATGCTTTTCCGTAATGCCAGTGACATTTAAAATACCGTAAAAGGGCGGATCTTCACGCGTGCGAAACTCCGCCCACCTTGTATCATAAGCCCAATCCACGAAGATTTTTTTCACAGAAAACTATGAAAGTATAATGTGCCTGCATACAGGTATATACTGTGGATGCAGATGACAAGATGTCATTATTCGCGTATTCTATTCGCCACAAAATACCTTATGATTCTGTTTGACAGGCCGAGAGAAGTAGAACGGGCGGAACGCTGCGCTATGGGGAAACTCCGCCACTTGAGAGTGGGGCGCATTGGTGTAGTTCATACTTGAAAACTTGAAACAATCAGCCAGATAGTAAATCCTTCTGCCTATTTTCACGTCGTTTCAGGGCGCCTAATCGTCACACCACTGGGCGCATGGTCAACGGTAGCCGGTGCATGGCCGTTCGGCGTGACGCTATGCGATATATGGATTTCTGTAGATGTAATTGTTTGCACTGCGTCCATACTTCATCTGGGTCGCTATCGCACTCGATAGGTACGCCTCAATGTCATATAATTTGGCCATATATGGCAACTTTTATAGATAAAAATAGTTTTATAGCTAAGTTATTTATTTTTTTGTTTCAAAATTCTAATAGTTTATAAACTCCAATAAGAGTTGATGGTTTTGCGAACTTGCTGTAGTTCATACAAGTATTTGATTCCTGTTCCCGTTTGAGAAGCCTAAGAAAGGAAGAAAAAAGAGCTTTGTACAGTTCCTCTAGAGTGCGCCATGCATCGCCTTCTGTTTCACAAGCTATTTGAAGTGGAATTTGGATGTGTTCATTGACTTTAAGCTTTTTCACAACAACGGGTGGATTACCGCGTTACTTTTGCGATATTTCTTGTTTAGTCTTTGGGTCCGGGACCAAATGACATATCCCGACTTTATGCAGGAATGACGGGCTTGGTAGGGAGCGTGGAGATCTATCCAGATGGTATGTGATGCAATGCTGGTTTAGTGCTGCCGCTATTTCCCCCCCGATTCTTGTAATGCCTCACTTTGCTCCTCGTACTAATTACCCTGACGCCTCTACCCCCCCCCTACGGCGCAGCCGGTGGGCCTGATTGTACTGCAATTTGGACAATTGCCAGGTCTTTTTGTGGCGTTTCAGCGGAGCTTTGAAGCGCCCATGCGTCAGACGTATTATGGTATTATCGCCTGGTTTTTGAGCTGTCAGCTCAAAAGAGTTTTTGTGATGTGTTTTGGTCTAAGTGGATCTAAAGCTTCTGTAATCCGTTCCTAAGCTCTAGCACGTCAAACGCTATAAACAGAACGCGTCAGGCTAGGGCTGAAACACATCACACAGCGTTGCATAAACTCATTTGTGGGGTACTTTGATGGCCAGGGGTTTTGCGTTACGGCTATTTTTGGCCTTTTAATTGAAATTGGGCAAGTATGGAATTGTAATTGATGGCTGTGGGTTTGCGAGGATATGGGGGCTGAGGTCAGCAGGATTTCCTGGGGTATTACTTCTTTGATCTCTTTCATAGCGAAAGAGAGCCGGGTAGAATATGGATTTGGCGTCAGAGGGTTTCAGAAACCTATTCGAAAACACTTGCCGGAGTCGCATGCATGGCGCATCCTTTTGACGTTGATCAACGACACAAAGAGTCTCACATTGGATGATCGGTCGCTTCTTCCTGTGGACCATCTTTCCTTACCAGTCTCATATTGTTCGGAAATTACGCTGACTAGTTCATCACGGGCTACTTGGCACACAACGGAGCTCAGCTTACTTCGCTTAAGACTACCCTATAGGGAAATCCTTAGATGACGGAGTAACGGGATGCAGGGGATTCTGATGGATCGATAATTGATTTTCCATAATTGTTCATAGTTATCAGGATTTATTAGCTACTCAATCGTGAATGAGTGGTACGTTTCCATCAAAGAAATCATCTCTTGTTTTGGATGCTAAAGGCGGAGCGATAATCGATTTTTCCCCTCAATCGACTATAACATGTAGCACTCATAGGTTGATCAATAATTGATTTTTTCGACGGATGAAAGTTGGATAGTTCGTGGGCTCAAAGAAGAAAACAAAATTTCCAGCAGACCAGCGCGGTATCCTAGATCAGCAACTCGTTACCCAACCGACCTCGCAGCCAGAAATGTTGCATTTGCAGACTTACTTAGTTGAATACGTGGCATCAGATAGCATCACGAGCGTCAAAAAGCGCGAATGAAATGGGCTCTTTGCCGTCGTAACCACGTGTATTATCTTTGTATGTATTGGTCTGCAGGTCTGCAATTACGGCATGCTCAGCAGCGGAAATCAGTGTAGACCCATGAGTCTCCGGAAGTAATTTTAGCCAGGTCACCGCTGGATCGATTATCGATTTT